CAAGAAATTATTGTGCCTCCTTAAACAAAAATTACAAATGATTGGTAGTTGAAAATTTTTATAATTCCAAATTTAAACTCTATTACATCACACAAGACTTTTCTTTTTTCTTTTTTTCATTTTTTCTTTTATGTGGTGCATTACTAATGTAGTTAAATTTTGTCCCTTATTAAACTACATTCCTAAGAGTTTTTTGGTATTGTATTTGTTCTTATTAAAATACACATCCTAATTTCATAGCATAGTAAGTGGACCACAATTGAATTCTCTTTTAAGGTGCAAAATATATTTTATGACTGGTGATGTAAGATGGTATCTTTATACATTTTTCTTATTGAGGAAAATAGGTAATCTCATAATTTGTTTACACTTAAATTGTGAGTTAGGAAGACATATAAACACTTTGGATTCTTCTTCTCGGAAAAAGGGGTAAACTACCAATAGGTCCTACTAGTTGGGCTTAATTCTTATCAAGTACTATTGAAAATAAGTTTTAGTAAAACCGTCGCTAAAAATAATTTTTTTGTGACAATTTTTTGTATGTTCCTAAAAATTAATAATTATCGACTTTTTTTTTGCCACAATTTTTATAAATTCTTGCTAAAACTTACAATTATTTACGTTTTTCTGTGACGAAATTTTCAAACTGTCGTTGAAAGTTAAAAATTAGTTGCTTTTTTTGTAATGGTCTTTTTAAACTGTCGCTAAAACTTATAATTAGTAACATTTTTTATGATAATTTTTAAATTGCCGCTAAAAATTAACAATTAATGACATTTTTTAATAGTATTTGATGAAAAATATTATTAATTATAATAAGACTTATTGGATAAGAAGTCCATCTATTAGGACTTACATGTAAATCCCTGAAAAGAAACACATCGATTGCCAAGTTTGAATACTTATTGTCAACAACAAAATAATATTAATAACGGTTCAAAAAAAATAATATTAATAAAAAAAGGGATGTGTCCTTATATAAATATGGAGCTATTTGTTTGTAATTTTGATTAAAGTTGATATAAACTTATATGATAAGATTGTTTTAATTTTCAACATGCATGCATTCTGCAACTTAAAAATTATTGTATAAATATTACAAAATTATATTTACATAAAATTTAAATTTAAATTGAACCCATGCATTGCACAAGTAGAAAACTAGTTAATGTATTATTGTAGAGTGCAAAGTGTTTTGTTATAGAACTCTTCGGCTTTGTTTGGTTTGTCTCTTGAAATACAATTTTTGAGAAAAAAAGTTCAAAAATTTGTTTAGTTGAAAATTTTTGAAAAAAAAATCCAAAATCAATTCTCTCTACTATATATCAATCAATCACTTTTTTTTCCCTCATCGTTCCTTCTCTCATATCCTATACATTAGTCAATCACTTTTTCTCTCACACCCATCTATTCAACCACAAAAAAAAAAAAAAAAAATTAAATCATTTCAAACTCCAAAACTTTAAAACTATTTTCAAAACCTACAACCAAAAAAAAATTAAAAATTTTGTACTCTTTCAAAAAAATTATTTTTCAAACTTGTTTCACAAATACAAACCAAACATGGCATTCATCTTCTTTTTTTTTATGAAATGTAACACTTTTATTATTGAGTTTTCTAGTATAATGTTAAAAAAAAAAAAAAAAAGCCTTTGCTACGCACGGAGTGAAAATTTTGTATTTTTTAAATATAAAATTTTATAAAATAAAAATAATTCATCATATTTATTTAAACTCTAGAAAGCAATTTCTATTAAAACAAAAAATAATTAAATAGTTTTAAACTAACTATTAAAACTAACCATATGCATGCACCATAAATTGGGGTAATTTTACCACAAGATTTCGTGACATTAACCATAAAATATATAACCTTGTCACAAATTGGCATAACAAAAAATATCATAACTAAATCACAAACTTTTTTTACATGAATCACAAAATTATGGACATTTTATTAGCTACTTTGTAGTGAGATTACGTATTTTGTCGTTGATATTATGAAATTTTATAATAAAAATTATACCAATTTATAATAGGATACATATGGTATGCACCCTTAAGGGATGCACACCATAATTCTTCCAGTGTAAGATAGCCAATTATCTTTTATTTTTAATTGAATTGCTTGTGAAACTTTATGAGCATAAGAACATTAGTAATATTTTAAATTATTACATAGGTTCATTAAAAGGGAATAATATGTTTAATTAAAACTAGTCTTGTATAATTTTTTATTAAGCTAATTGAAGTAATATTTTAATAATTATTTAATTTCTCAAAGAAAAATGATATAGAAGTCTATTTCGTAAACTCACTTTCTAAACTTAATGATGTCTAAATAAGATGACCCATCATCTGCGAAAATCTTCCTTAATATTAAGGGTAAATTACACTTTATTCCCTTCAAGTATTGTCATTATCAATTTAGTCCCCTCAACTAAAAATTTTAACAACTAGCCTCCCTCATCTACTTTTTTTTTTCCAATATGGACCTTTATGACTAAAAATACCCTTTCATCAATAGGATAAATTACACTTTACCCCCATGAATTACCACCCAATATCATTTTATCCCCTTAACCTATCACCCAATATTACTTTCAATTTGGACCTTTTTATTTTTTCATTTCATCACTAAATTAATTTTTAGTTCTAATTTTTTTTTTAAAAATTTGAAAACCAAACTTGTAGCATTTGAACAGATAGACAAATAGTTAAGTTTTTGAACATATAATTGTCCTTTTGGATAAATAATGTCATTTTGACCTAAAAAGATTAAAGCTTTGGCCAATAAATAGTTTCAAAGATAGACCTCTTCTGCCAGAGTGACCAAAGTAAATCACTTAAGTTTATTTTTTAATTTAAAATTAATTAATACAAATTTATTTGTCAAATTATTGTGTGTACAATTTATTTAGTTATTTATTTTGGATGGCTAAGAAAAGTCATATATCTTCTATATCTATCTATCTTCTATACTATTATAAAGTGAGGGCTAGTGTTGTTGACATATTTGTGTTTCATATTTTAGTTTATCCCAGATTTTCCCAAAACACTCTTATATTTAGGGGTGATTTGGGATGATCTATATAAGTGCACTTTTTGATTTTTTATGAAATATAGGTTGGGTATGGGTTGGGTTTGAAATGATGTGGTAGAGAGGTGATGCGACTTAAATAAGATGATGTGACTTAAATAGGATATCGACTTTTTGGCTTTTTGACTTTTTTAGGTTAAGACTTTTTGACTTTTTTTTGGTTAGTGAATTTTGTAATAGTGTTGTTGACATCCCAAATACCCTATACTATTATAAAGTGGAGGTTGATGGTGTTGATATGTTTGTGTCTCATATTTTGGGTTTTCCCGAATTTTTTCAAAATACTCTTATATTCGGTGAATAACGGTGTTTTCCCGAATTTTTCCAAAATACTCTTGGTGAATTTTGTAATGGTGTTATTGGCATCCAAACTGTCCTTATATTTGGTGAATTTTGCAAGAATTATGTAAAGAGGAGGAATGGCCTCAAGAAACCCATGACCATAGGTTTAATAATGAAAGCTTTTACTATTTGAACAATATATGCTATATGTATATTTTTCTTTGTTATTATTCTTAATTTTTTTTTTTTTTTTGAGTTACACACATTGTGGGTGTGGACCTTTACGACCGCTAGTACTATTATAAAGTGAAGGTTTCTGACGGTGTTAACACATTTATGTCTCATATTTTGAATTTTTTCAAAATACCTATTATAAATTGAAGTTTTCTGGTGATGTTGACACATTTGTGCCTCATATTTTGGATTTTTTCCCCAATATTTGCATTGTCTCACTATTATAAAGTGAGGCTGCTTGTTGGTGGTATTGTGTTGACACATTTGTGTCTCCTATTGTCATATTTTGGGTTTATGTCTCATTTATTTTGTATAATTTAGGTATAGAGGAGAAAGGGTCTTGAACCCATAATCATAAGTTTAGTAAAGAAACTTTTACCACTTGAGCAACCCATACTGTATGTGTATATATATTTTTTGTTATTATTCTTATAATATTATTATTTTTAGCTGCACACGCATGCTATATGCATATTTTTCTTTGCTATTATTTTTTATAATATTATTATTATTTTTTTGAGTTGTATATGCATCGCGTGTGTGGATTGCATGTATATTTATATTGACTCTTACCTTGTTTTCCACAGCATTCAGCGTATGTTTCTGAAACAGCATAGTGAGCTTCGAAAAATTATTCAATACTCCTGAAGCATGTCTAGGTGGTGCTCCAATTGAGTAGTTATTGGTCTAAATCATGGAATCCACTACTTTTGTATTAGAGTTTTAGGAGACAAAGTGTTAAGTGTTAATCTATTAATGGAATAGTTTTTGCTCTGCTTTTTTTTATTATTATTTTAAGCTTGGTCATCAATTTTTTTTTGGAAAAGATGTTAAAAGAGTGTTAGAATTTGGCCAGAAATTGTAAAGACATCACATCGATTTTTCAATTTTTTTAATCTCTCGCATTATATAAATTATTTATTTTGATGTTATTTACGATTTAACAAAAAAAATGTAAACAAAGTTGAATTTTTATAAATTAATTAACTTAACTTGGGCAACTAGGTCGATTTTCACTAACTTAATTAGGTTGAGCTTGGGCAGATAAACTCTAGCATAGATCTTATTCTTGTTTGTGTTTCAAATCATCCACTCACCTAAAATTTACAATCAATGTCATAACAGAAATTCTTGAACACCATAAATGCTGGTTCATTGTTACTAGCTATCTATTTGCACAATCACTATTTTGTCAGCAATTCAAAGACCGACTTTCGATTATTTGGAGGTGAATGTGAAGTCAGTTTGCATAAATTAGCATGTTTTTCTTTCTCACACTTTTGTAAATCAAATTTGAAATTGCTTTCTAACAGTCATTAGAATCAATATTGAAGTTTTCTTTTGAATATTTCCTTTTAACTGCAATCCTCTTCTGTATTTGCAGGAATAGGCCACACTATGGAAAACATTTGTTCAACCATTGAAATTGGGAAGAATTTGTGTGATTTAACTGGACCATGGGTTGGATATCTCAATAACCTTGATACTAACATGGAAACTCTCAAAAGGAAGACGGAGCAATTGAACGGCCGAAACAATGACATAAATGTAGAAGTGAATTATGCAGAGCAGCGGTCAAGGAAAAAACGAAGGGTTGACGTTGAATGTTGGCAAGAATATGTGCAAAGGATAACAGCTGATGTCCAAACTTTGGAAAGACAAGAGCAAGAAGTACGAGGATTTAAGAATGCCTTCAAACGTGCACACTTGGGAAAGCGTGTAGTGGACAAGATTGAAGAGGTGGAAAAACTGTATGAAAATGGTGAATTTTCTAATGGTTTGCTAATTGATGATCCAACTTGTGGGCACGCCATACCAACAGCAGAATCTTTGGTTGAACCAACAAGTGTAAGGAACAGGGAGAAAATTTGGAATTTCTTGATGGATGATGCGGTTAGAAAAATCGGTGTTCACGGAATGGGGGGAATTGGCAAAACAACCATCATGGGAAGCATCAATAATCAACTTCTTTCCGAAACTTCTACCTTTAGTGATGTTATTTGGGTCACAGTTTCTAAAGCATTCGACATCAAAAATCTACAAGGGCAGATAGCTAAGAAGCTGAATATTGCTCTTTCCGATAATGAGGATGAATTACGTTCAGCGTCAGAAATAAATAAGATGCTTTCCCAAAAGAAGAGGTATGTGCTCATCTTAGACGATCTTTGGAAAGAATTTCCTTTGAAGAAGATGGGTATTCCGGAACCAACCAGAGATAACGGATGTAAGCTAGTGTTGACTACACGATTGGTAGACGTCTGTACAAAGATGAATTGCAGACCTGTTGAAATGGAGCTTCTCACAGAAGAGGAAGCACTGAATCTGTTTATGAATAATGTTAAAGAACATCAGGCAACGCTTACAACCGAGGTAGAAGAAATTGCAAAAGAAGTTGCCAAAAAATGTGCTCGTCTGCCCCTTGCAATTGTTGTTATGGCTGGATGTATGATAGGAGTGAATGACATTCGCGAGTGGAGAAATGCGAAAAGTGTACGATGGCGCCTGGGCAAAGAAGGGTTCTTTGAGCAACTAGAATTTAGTTATCGTCGGCTAAAAGATGAACAGGAACGACATTGTTTCTTGTATTGTGCATTGTATCCAGAAGACCATGACATCAATAGGGAAGAACTGATAGAGTATTGGATTGCTGAGGGACTAATAAGTGAGATGAACAGTATAGAAGCAATGTTTGATGAAGGTCACTCTATATTGAATAAACTCATTAAAACCTGCTTGTTGGTAAAAAGTATAATATATGGCAGAGAATGCGTGAAGATGCATGATTTGATAAGAGATATGGCTCTCAAAATAACATCAGCTAGTCCTCGATTCATGGTCCGAGCTGATGAGGGATTAAAAAGAGTTCCACATAAAGACTGGTCTGAGGATCTTGAGAGGGTTTCCTTAATGCGGAACCATATTGAAGAACTTCCTTCTGAACCACCCAATTGCCCTCGCCTCATCACCTTCTTATTTCGAGGCAATAACTCAACAGAACTTCGGATTCAAAATTCCTTCTTTTTGTATATGCCTCGTCTCAAGGTGTTGGATTTGTCCGACACTAACATAGAGTCTTTGCCAGATTCCATCTCCATGTTGGAGAATTTGCATCAACTGTTACTAAATGGTTGTCGTCAACTAAAAAATGTGCCGTCACTGGAGAAACTAAAGGCGTTGGAACATTTTGAACTAACTGGGAGTCAGATTGAAAAAGTACCCCAAGGTATAGGAGAATTGGTTAATCTCAGAAAGCTTGGACTTCGGGGGAATCACAACCTAAAATATGTGCCGTCAGTGGAGAAACTGAAGGCGTTGGAACATTTTGAACTAACTGGGAGGCAGATTGAAGAAGCACCCCAAGGTATAGAAGAATTGGTTAATCTCAGAAAGCTTAGACTCGGGGGGGATCACCTAAAATATGTGCCGTCACTGGAGAAACTGAAGGCGTTGGAACATTTTGAACTAGCTGGGAGTCAGATTGAAAAAGTACCCCAAGGTATAGAAGAATTGGTTAATCTCAGAAAGCTTGTACTCTTTTGGAATTACAAGCTAAAATATGTGCCATCACTGGAGAAACTGAAGGCATTGGAACATTTTAAGCTGATTGATGGTCAGATTGAAGAAGTACCCCAAGGTATAGAAGAATTGGTTAATCTCAGAGAGCTTAGACTTTGGGGGAATCGCAACCTAAAATATGTGCCGTCACTGGAGAAACTGAAGGCGTTGGAACATTTTGAACTAGGTCAGAGTCAGATTGAAGAAGCACCCCAAGGTATAGAAGAATTGGTTAATCTCAGAGGGCTTAGACTCCGGGAGAATCACAACCTAAAATATGTGCCGTCACTGGAGAAACTGAAGGCGTTGGAATGTTTTGTGCTGACTCATAGTCAGATTGAAGAAGTACCCCAAGGTATAGAAGAATTGGTTAATCTCAGAGGGCTTACACTCTGGGAGAATCGCAACCTAAAATATGTGCCGTCACTGGAGAAACTGAAGGCGTTGGAACGTTTTGTGCTGACTCATAGTCAGATTGAAGAAGTACCCCAAGGTATAGAAGAATTGGTTAATCTCAGAAATCTTAAACTCTCGGGTTACAAGCTAGGAATGTCTCCTTGCCGGAAGTTATGCAGACTCACACAACTCCATTCCCTTGAAATTCAGAGAACAAAAGTAAAAGTTTCAGCAGAAGAGCTGTTGTGCTTGAAGCAATTAGAAGTTCTCGAAGCTCAGTTTCACAATGTGCAAGAGCTTACCATGTATGTGAATTCTGCGCAATGCAAAAGTTTGGAAAAGTACAGCCTTGAGGTGGGAATTGTTGATGAAATTAAAAACGAGAGACTCACTTGTGAGTACGAGGATGGATCTTTATCAAGTACTGGAGTAGATGCCGTAGTGCTTCCCAGCGACATATGGAAGTTGTACATTAGAAGATGGCACAATCACATTAGCTTATCACATATTCAGTCGTTAAGGGATGCAAGAGGTTTAGGAACATTTATAATCGAAGAGTGTGATGGGCTTGAATCCATCTTTTCATCATCATCATGCTTTTCAGAAGACTACCACATCCCGCTAACAACGATTGAGGAATTAGAGTTTTCTAATTTACCCAATTTTAGGGTACTCTTTGACAGAGTTGTTCCACCGCACAACATTTCATTTAACCTTAAGAGATTGGTGTTGTGTCAATGTCCGAAAATGGAGAATATTTTCTCTGCCCTGTTGTTGCACAACTTTCCAAACCTTGAGGAGCTTGAAGTGCAGGACTGCAAGAATGTGGAGGAGATAATAGCAGAAGTAGAGACGAGTGATCGAGGGGGGCATCGGGAAGATGATGGCGACACAATCACACTCCCAAATTTAAAGATATTAAATCTACTAAACCTACCAAGGCTGGAGAGCATATATAAGGGCATAATGGTCTGTGAATCTCTGCAACACATTTCGATATCGAATTGTCCCATGTTAAGGAGATTGCCTATTTCTTTGCACAAGAATGAGGATGGTGAGCAAGCAACTGCACCACCTGCTCTTCGATTCATTTTTGTAGAAGAAGAACGGTGGGAATCTCTGGAATGGGATAATCCCCTCACCAAAACCACTCTTCAACCTTTCTGCTGCCCAGGTAATATTGTAACATCATGTTAGATTTTTTTAAGGGTAAAAATTGATGGTGGTTCTTATACTTTACTCTTTTTTTATTATTATTATTTTAGTCGTCTTCATTTTAATTGATTTGATTTTAAGTCTGAATTTATGATTTTGTTTTAATTTGGTCTAATTGATTACAATTCTTAATATATTTTTATGAAAAATACGCATATAAATGGCATGTGTCACATTTTTAATAATAAAATTATAAATTTACTCAACTCAGTGATTATTTTTCTTTAAAATACTAACGGGATTATCAATTGAACTAAATTAACACAAAATTTTAAATTAAAAGTCAAAATTAAACTAATTAAAAATGTAGGGACCAAAATGACACAAATAGCAAAATGTATTTGCCCTTTTCTTAAATCAAAAATGTTTAAGACCCCTTTCCCTCCACCCCTTCGCTTTTGATTGGTCCATTTTTCTTTTTTTTTTCTCTTCTCCCAACCCCCATGTGGGGGGTGGTGGGAGTTTTGAGGGGTCTTAATCAATCCTAACCGCAACACATTGCATTAACTATTTATTTATGATTTGTGACACCAAACTTAATTTCATGAAAGTTTCAAACATCTAAGCTCGAATTAATATTGTTACTCCCATACATGTTTTGGATATAACAAAATACCAGTAGCAGACAGACACATACGGTTGCCAATTATCATTGTTGATTACTTTCACTTTATTTTTCAAAAAAAATAAAATAAAAAAATAAATAAAAATACTACTTCGCATGACCCCTAAAAACATTGGTGATTACTCAAAAAAATCTTTGTTAAAACTAGGGTTCAATTTCGGTTGGCCTAATATGAGCAACCCTGGTCTAATTTGAAATTTTTTAGAATTTAGACTATGATTTTAAATTTGGTCAAGGTTTGAGCTAAATTTTACAGCCTAATTAAATTTGAATAAGGCTTAAGTTTCACAACCCAATCAATCCGAATTATATTATTAATATATAAATATATATAATAAATTTGAATATTATAAATTATTGATTATTTTTTTACTGTTAGATTAATCATATTGCTTTTGTGAAAGATCTACCATTATATTATTTCTGAAAATGTAATGACAAACACTCAGCACACAAAAGTTCAAGGGTACACATTCACACATATAGATCTGGATTCCCTCCAATACATGATTTAGATTAGAAGATGTTGTCTGAGCTCATGAGATTAATTACGAGTCTCATTTTTATAATTTAAATAATTTATTTTGTCACTCTTCATGTCATCCATGCAAAAAATTACGTTAATTCGATAATTGTAGGCTATTCAATTTAAGCATTTGTTTCCACACAAAAAATAAAAAATAAAAAATTAGACAATAAGTATATTTTTAAAAATAAATCATTCATTTTTTTAGTTATAAACACAATAAATTGAATAGACTATGAATATCAGATCGATCTAATTCTTTTATGTAGATGGTATATACGAAGAATCCTACAAAATAATAATTTGAATTATCAAAATAAAACTATGGTGGTGACCACATCTAGTCCATATTATGAACAGGAGGAAATCTTGGTCTCACATATAGGACATTGTTATGTAAGATTAGATTTTGTAAATTTTCTAATAAAACAAGCTTAAAGTTGTATAGATTCTTGTAAGAATAATTTTCAATAATCTTATAATGAAATGTGAGAAAATAAAGTTAAATACGAAAATAATAATAAACTCAATTTGCTGGATACTAAATCTGCAAAAATAATATTTTGTGACAAGTAATTTTTTTTTTTTTGTTTATATAAAAGGATTACCACTATTAATGTGCCAGTAATAAAAGCAATCACATATCATCACTCAACAAAGAAAAAAGACTAGAAGTTGAAAAAGCATTTTAAATACACTTCAAAATATCTAAAACCAATTAAAAAAACCTTAATCAATCTTTTTTGGAGTTGAATGGAAAAATTATATAAAGGGCGTTCAAAATAGTGATACTAAAACAAGAATATAAAAATAAATGATAAATTATATTTATGTTATTTTAAGTATGCATTTTGTGTCACTGTATCAAGTTTTAATTTTGTCAATTTCATTATTAAAATTTTAATTTATATTAATTTGGTCTTGTTTAAACTCATAGCTTAAATAGTTAATCGAATAATAATAAAATATACATTTGACTTTGGTTCTTAAAGTTTTTTAATTTTGTTAGTTTGTTCTCGAAACATTTATGAGAAAAATAAAAATAACTTGTAATATTGAGAGAGAAAATTAACAAAATTGGAACTTTAAAATTTCGTTAATGATTTAAACAGTAGTTTAAAATTAGACTAATTTGATAATTTGAAGAGAGAAATTAACAAAATTAAAATCTAAAAGACTAAAGTGATATGAAAGGTATGCTTCTTTGTATTTTATCCAAAATAAAATAAATAAATATGATCTCTGATCAAATAAGTTGATTTTAGGATCTTTCTTTGTTTTTCCCCCTCTCAATCTTGACATTTTCTTGCAGCAGCAGCAGCAGAAGAAGAAGAGACTGAACCTCTTGAATTGCGAAGAAGAAGAAAGCGAAGAAGAAGAAGAGACTGAATCTCTTGAAGGAATTGAAATTGAATAATATTGAAATCATCATTAAGGTAATTCAAATCCGTTCTTATTTTAAATTTCCACTTCGTTTAGATTGAGTGATTTGGTGAGAAAAGATAAGAAATGATGAGAAAGAAAACTCGCATGATTTCACAGAATTATTTGAGAGTTTGTTGGGATTAGAGTGGTTGTTTGGTATTAGACCAATTTGGTTAGGCTTATAGATGACACTCACTTATTAGGCTTTTGATTAATTGATTTTATGCAAAAAGAGAAAAATACCACAAGAACAACATGATCTATACTTGTTTATTTTGACAATCATATGAAGGTAGAAACAATTGTTCTTCCCTTGTTATACTTGTTTTTCCCAAAACTAGTCAGTTTTGAAAGAGGTATGGGAGTACTTAACTTTATTATAAAAAATTTAGGTACACAGAAACTAACCACATAAAATATACAGAACGTTCACATTAGTGTAGATTCAATAATTTATGGGCCCCGCACATGTAAATATTTTGTGTAATTTATTTATGATGATTTTTACATGCATAGAACCGCTATTATTTTTAAAATCTTGTTGAATTCCTTGTTTACAGCTTTCGATTTGTGAACTCTTGAGTGTGGATTCATTTCACTAGAGGTGAGTCATCTCATACCACATCTAGAATTTCTTTTAACTGCATATTTTGGTTTGAAAATGTTTAAACATTGAGTAATGAAATCACCTCTTAGTTATGGACACAATCTCTTCAAAGATGGGGTAAGGTTGCATACATTTTGTCCTCTTCAGATTCTATTTTAGTCGGAGTCTTGTGTCCCAAGTTGTTTTTATTTTTATTTTTTATTTCTATAGAAATATTTTATAAGATCATTGTGGATTCATGTACTTTATGAAGGGTATGAATTTTGTTTGACAATAATGTGAACCCAAAGCAAATGGGAGTTAAATATTGACACATAAGCTACTTTCTTTTTATTTTTGACCATGGCGCTAAATGTGGTTTTGGCTTTTGTCACTCATTACTGTGGTTGCATTTGCTAAAACATGAGTTTGTGTTTATCAAACCCGTTGAGTTTTGGATTGATTGAATTGAATTATTGAATTTGTTGATATATCGAATAGTAACACCATGTTTGGATCATGGGGTAAGAGAAAAAAAATTATTGTGGTCTCTCCCATCTAGTTGAGTAAAGAAAAAAGACATGTTTTCTCACTAACGTATTTAGATTGGTAAGAAAGCAAATCATGTGAGAGAAATTTGAGTGAGATTTCTTTTTATTCTTTTCATTTTAAGGGGTAATCTTGGTATTGTAAATATTTTACAACCAATCAACTTGTTTCTCACCAAATCTCACAACTTTCAGTAAGAAATCAACTAGTCAAAATAAGATACTTCTCTTTCTCACTATTTCTCACACTTTGTGTCTCCATTTTTCACCTACTTAACCCTCTGAACAAATGTATTCTTTCTCACCAAAACTATATGATCCAAACGAACTGTAATCCTAAGAGTTATAAAATTCTATGATTATGGAACTCACCTTATTGGAATGATTTTATGTTCACTATTAACTGAAGTGCATAACATTTTCTTTACACTCCTGAATCACAAAAAATTATGTTGTTTAATTTTATTAATTGAAATTATTCTTTTTTTGTATAATTGATTCAGTTAGTTGTTACAGTAGTTAATTATTGAGCTATCAAACTGATCGTCTTCCTTTGATTATAGATCTAGAAGAATAGTGTGGTGGAAGCGGCAGAAGTTATTATTGGGATGGAGTGCTACAAGTAGAAGTTATTTTGAATTGTTTTGTTGCGACATTGATTTAAATTATAGAACTCTTGTTTGCTTTGATGGAGGCAATTAATCTTTGAAATATTAAGATTATGGAACTCTAGGTTTGGCATGCTCTAAACATTAAACTAGCTAAACTGAATTTGTGGATTGTTATTGAAACTTTTGGTATTGTGAATTAAAGAATTACTGATTGTGATCTCATCTCCTGATTACCATGATTATTTTGTGGAATGAAATTGAATTGAGTTTTTCACCATCTCTTTTTTGCATGCTCACAGGGTGTTGTAAGTCTTATAGGTGTGTGACATTGTCACATGTCTAGATTGGTTGGCTTTGAGGCGTGACATTCATTCTTTGTATTTCAATGTTATCATTATTTTTTTGACTTGATGCAGGAAAGGCAACGGAAAGGAACCGTTATCATTAATTATGTGAAGGAGCTTACAAACATCAATCTCTAATTCAGACCATTAAGATTGGTTTGTTTGAAAGAAGAAGCACAAGACAAGAGAGTTGATGACTATTAGTCGCGAAGCTGCTCTAAAAATGGGGCCTTTTCCTAAATTAAGCTAAAATAACAACTTATTTCCCAAACTAGGCCTAGTTTGGATAGAATTTCCAAACTAGGCTAAAACGTGGTTGTGAGCCACGCTTTCACCCTTTATCGCGGAAAATTTGTAAAATCGTAAAAGCATAGTTACAAACCACGCTTTTAATTAAAAAAACGTAGTTACAAATCACGCTTTTAAGGAAATTTGATCTATACGTAAAACGTGGTTACAAACCATGTTTTTAAGCAATTTTTTTTTTTTTTTTTAGAAAACGTGATTTCGAATCACGCTTTTACTATTGACCAAGGAAACACGCTTTTAAAATATATTAAAATGTGAGCAAAATAAAAGTTAAGTGGGATGTAGCCCAAATGGCAGTGCACTTGTTTAACTTGGGAGGGGTGCGTGTTCAACACCCCACATCTCCAAACTGTTGCTATTTTTCACATTAAATTCTAACTCTTTTTTTTTTCCCCTTGACTTACTCTATACTTTATATATTTATTATGTAATTTTTTTATCAAAAAAAGGTAAAACGTTTGTTTGGTTAACTAAAAAAATTCTCTATAAAATATAATTTTTTTTCAAAATGTCAGCATAATTGTTTAAAAAGTATTTAGTGTCTTTAGTTTGAGTTTTTTGGATTTAGTTATTTGAAAACTGAGTTTTTTGATTTTCGTATTTTTTTGTTTTTAGTGAATATTTTTAAAATTTTAAACATTTTTTTTTACTTTTTTAGATGCACACCTTAGTTAGATGTATTTAAAAAGTAAAATATTTGTGAAAAAATATTTTTAAAAATTAATAAATACATAAAAATATAAAAAATGTACTGAAAAAATGTATTTTTTTAAAAAAAAAATACAAAAAAATGTGTTTTTTTAAAAAATACAAAAAATATTTTAAAGTATATATATATATATATTTTTTGTATTTTTGGTATTTAGTAAATTTTTAAAAGGTTTTTTTCACAATTTTTTTACTTTTTAGGTATATTTTTGTTAGGTATGTCTAAAAAGTAAAAAAAAAAATTTGCTTAAAATATTAAAAAAAAATTCAATAAAAACAAAAAAATACAGAAAATAAGAAAGTGAAATTTTTCTGAAAAGTATTTTTTGAAAAATAAAAACAAGCAAGCTGAATAATATTATTATTATTAGGGAGAATTTCAAATCAATAAATAAGTTAAAAATAATTATAAATTAATGATAAATTTTATCAATATTAATAATTAATATTATAAACTTTTTTTTTCACACATGTAAATATCACCGGTAAGTAATTTTTCCTAATTATTATACATATGAAAAAACAACACATTTAAATACAACATAAAATAATAGAGATCTTTTTAAAATTTTAAAAATATTCACTAAAAACAAAAAAATACGAAAATAAAAAAACTCAGTTTTCAAATAACTAAATCCAAAAAACTCAAACTAAACCCACTGAATACTTTTTAAACAATTATGTTGACATTTTCAAAAAAATTATATTTTATAGAGAATTTTTTTGATTAACCAAACAAACGTTGTACTTTTTTTTGATAAAAAAATTACATAATAAATATATAAAGTATAGAGTAATATATAAAGTATAGAGTAAGTGGAAGAAAAAAAAAAAGAATTGAATTTAATTTGAAAAATAACAACAGTTTGGAGATGTGGGGGTGTTGAACGCGTGCCCCTTCCAAGTTAAGCCAGTGCTTTACCATTTAGGCTACATCCCATTTAAGTTTTATTTTGCTCACATTTTTATATATTTTAAAAGCGTGTTTCCTTGGTCAACAGTAAAAGCGTGATTCGGAACCACGTTTTCTCAACAAATTTTTTTTTGCTTAAAAGCGTAGTTTGTAACCACGTTTTACGTATAGATCAAATTTCCTTAATAGCGCAGTTTGTAACCACGCTTTCTTAATTAAAAGCGTGGTTACGATTCTACAAATTTTCCGCAATAAAGGGTGAAAGCGTGGTTCACAATCACGTTTTAGCCTAGTTTGAGAATTCCGTCCAAATTAGGCCTAGTTTGGAAAATAAGTTGCTATTTTGGCTTAATTTGAGAAAATGCCCCTAAAAATGGTCTCTCTTATGTGTTTGCATCAAAATACTTGTCTTGTCAATATCAGTAGTGACTTAGTTGCTTGCCCTTAAGTAGATTGCCTATTTCTTTGTACAAGAATGAGGATGGTGAGCAAGCATATGCACCACTTGCTCTTCAGCACATTTATGGAGAGTGTAAATGGTGGGAATCTCTGGAATGAGATGATCTCCATACCAAAACCTCTGCCTTTCTTCTCCAATAGCTACCCAGGTATTTGTGCTTACTTTTTTCATCAAATTTGAGTGAAAATTTGATTCAAAGCTTGATCTCGCGTAGAACATTCCAATTCATACTCTCTTTTTTTTGGATAAAATATTTTTGAAAGATTCTAAACTTACCCAAAAACTTGTTTTAACCATTTTGTATAAAAGAAAATCATCCCTGATATTCTTTTTAAAATTTTATCAAATTTGAATAAAAATACCACTGTTTGAAACTTGGTGAAAGATATGATTCATCATTCATTTGGTGCAAAATTTGCCATCAATGGTTCATCTGATAGTAAATTCTATTTTGATCGTTAAGGCCATTAGATAGCATTTGGTTCATTGGAATGAAGTGGAATCGAATAATCATTCTATCAAAATATTCATTCCCATATTTGGTTAGACAAAAAAAAATAATTACAAATGGATTTCAAATATAATCATCTTTCACCATTTTAAAGGAATAGTAATCACCATTCTCATTTCAATCAACCAAATAGAGTATAATTTTCTTCTGTTTATGGCAAATGAGGATCAAGTAAGAGAATTGCCATTTAACTTTTTTATTATCAAAACTATTTGTGATGATTGTTTTATAAGCTCATTCATGTGTTTTGTCAAGAGTATGAATACAGTTTACTCCGATTTGGACCTAAGGATATGAAGGTTAAGTATAGACACAAAAACTCTACTTTCTTTTTTTCTTTGACCATAGACCTAAACTTGGTTTTGGATTTTTGTCACCAGTTACTATGGTTGCAGTTGCGAAAACTTGAGTTTGTGTTTATCAAACTATTGAGTTTTGAATTGTTTGTATTGAATTATCATATTTGTTCAAATATTGAATCATGAATCCTATGAGTATCCAAGTTGTATTTATTTTATCTCTAATGATAACTGAATTGTATGAGTACTTTTTCTTTACACTCTAGAATCACAAAAAGTTTTACAAATTTCTTTTGTAGTTTTAACTTTACCTATTGAAAATTTTCTCGTTTTCATGTACTTAATATATTTTTTTAATACTAAATATCAAACTAATTGTCTTCTTCTTCTTCCTCTTTATTACGAGTCCAGAGGAATAGTGTTGCTCAAGTTGTAATTGGGATAAATTGCTAAAAAGTAGAAATTATTTTGAAGTATTTTGTTGCAACACCTAAACTGAACTTGCAAACTATGGTTGAGGCTTGTGGTACTTTGGATTAAAGGGGATTACTGACTGATTTTCTCTTTGATTGCCATGATTATTTTGTGGAATGAGATTGAATTGGTTTTCTAATCAGCAACGCTAATGCTACATGATCACTTCTCATAATGCGAATCTCACTCCCAACTCCTCTCAGATCTCACAAGTGTTGTGCAAAATTGCAGCTTCTTTGATTTCCTTCCTCAATCGAGGCTTTGAATCAAGGAACTCTCAACCAACAACGAAATTGTGATCCATCCGCCATAGCCACCACCATTCCACCTTCAATCACTACCCAGCTCTCCCCCACCCGCATGACAATGTTGGGTTAATATTGCGATATTTCTGACACAAACCCGAAATGACATGACACACTAATACAACCCGACACGACACAATGCATATTCGATTGTGTTCTTATCAAGTTTGTTCTCTCCTTAATTGGAGAAGGAATAATAAAAAAAAAAAAACAGTACTATATTCCTTAGTTTGGCAGACACAAATTAAGATAGAAAGATAAACTAACTTTTTGTTAGTGTTATCTATCGCATGATTTTAATTTAGAATTTTGGTTTTATTTTAGTAAATTATATTTAATTTGATGTATTACCATACATGTGTATAACTTGTAGCACAACTTCTAGTAATAATAAATACACCAATATAGTTAAGTTCAACTAAACCATTCAACAAATGGAACTCAATATCTGAAATTTTCAGTATGATCAATCTTAACTTCTCAACACCGCTAAGGGTTTTTTAATAGGCTCACTTTTAACCTAAATCGTTTGTTTGATAATATAGATATATGCGTGTGTTTATGCAAAGAAGATACTTGCTCATCGCATCATGTATAAGGTGGTAGCGGTGTAGAACTAGGCTGCAACAGTAGGGTCCTATGTTCTATACACTCCCTAAATGCACAGTGGCCAGAACCTACAACATTAGAGTATAATTCGTTAGGCATATGAATAGAATTTTTTTTTTAAAATTAAAATTAAAATATAGTAATTAAAAAAAACAAAATTTTTACTAAACCTAGAAGGCATCTGAACTCCCTTCTTCGCTTGAAATTAATTCATCATTTGCTCGATATGTGTAATGAGTTCCGCCCTGAGCTCCCTTTTGAGCTTCTCACACATTTGTTGTGTGTTTTGG